AAAATGGATTAAAAACCTAAATATAAAACCCAAAACCATGAAACTGCTAAAAGATAATACAGGAGAAATGCTTCAGGACATTGGCCTGGGCAAAGATTTTATGGATAAGCCCTCAAAAGCACAAGCAACGAAACCAAATATAGGCAAATTGGATTATATCAAACTAAAAAGCTTCTGCACAGAAAAGGAAACAATCAATAGAGGAATGAGAGAGCCTACAGAATGAGAGAAAATATTTGCAAAGTGTTCATCCAACCAGGAATTCATATCCAGGAAGTACGAAAAACTCAACTCAATAGCAAAAAAAACCCCAATAATTTTTAAATGGGCAAATGATCTGAATACACAATTCTCAAAAGAAGACATATAAATGGTCAACAAATACATGAAAAAAATGCTCAACATCACTAATCATCAGGGAAATACAAATCAAAACCACGATGAGATATCATCTCACTCCAGTTAGAATGGCTATTATGAAAAAGACAAAAACAAATGCAGAGGGTGAGGGTGCAGAGAAAAGGGAATTCATACACTATTGATAGGAATGTAAATTAGTTCAACCATTATGGAAAACAGTGTGTAGATTTCTCAAAAAACTAAAACTACAACTACCATATGATCCAGCAATCCCACTACTACCCAAAGAAGAGGAAATCAGTATGTCAAAGAGGTATCTGTGCTCCCATAGTTACTGCAGCACTATTCACAGCCCCCAAGATATGGAGTCAACCTAAGTGTCCATCAAAAGAAGAATGGATAAAGAAAATGTAGTACACATACACAATGAAATACTATTCAGTCATAAAAAAGAATAAAATGTTGTCATTTGCAGCAACATGGATAGCACTGGAAGTCATTATCTTAAGTGAAATAAGTCAGGCACAGAAAGATAAATACTGCATGTTCCCAACAATATGTGAAAGATAAATAAGTTGATCTCAGAGAAGTAGAGAACAGAATAGTGGCAACTAGTGGCTGAGAAGGGTAAAGGAGAGGATTATATAGAGAGAGGTTGGTTAACACACATAAAATTACAGGTAGGCAAAAGGAATAATTTTTGGTGTTCTATATCGCTGTAGGGTGACTATGGTTAACAATAACTTATTCTATATTTTCCAATAGCTAGAAGAGTGGATACTGAATTTTCCCAAAGCAACTATTACAGATTATATACAGGTATCAAAATATCACACTGTACCCCATATATATACAATTATTATGTGTCATTTAAAAAATACATCCACAAATTTATTGACACTTCATAAAAAAAGGAGTCATCTGGCTGGGCGCAGTGGCTCAAGCCTGTAATCCCAGCACTTTGGGAGGCCGAGACGGGCGGATCACAAGGTCAGGAGATCAAGACCATCCTGGCTAACACGGTGAAACCCCATCTCTATTAAAAAGTACAAAAACTAGCCGGGCGAGGTGGTGGGCACCTGTAGTCCCAGCTACTTGGGAGGCTGAAGCAGGAGAATGGCATAAACCCGGGAGGCGGAGCTTGCAGTGAGCTGAGATCCGGCCACTGCACTCCACTGCACTCCAGCCTGGGCGACAGAGTGAGACTCCGCCTCAAAAAAAACAAAAACAAAAAAAAACACCGACAGCCTTAGTAACTAAGTTCTAATGAATTGACTGTGGCTTAAAGTGACACTGCATGACTTCCACTGTGAGTTAGAAAAAGCATTACAGCTTCCAACCAGATTTTTCTTCTTTCGGATGCTCATCCTTGGAACTCAGCATATTGTGAGGAACCAAACAGTGCTGTGGAAAGATCATGAATAGGTGTTCTAGCCACAGCTTCAGTTAAGGACTAGGTCAACACCAGTATCAGTCACCGGACATGTAAGAAAAGGGGTCTTCAGATGATTCCAGCCTCAATCTTTTAGCTGCCCCTGCTGATGTGAAGTGGATAGTGGAACAGAGACAATCTGTTCCCACCAAGCTCTGCATAAATTACAGATTTGGAAGTAAAGTAAGTGTTGCAACTGTTTTAAACCATTACATTTTGCGGGCGGTTAAACAGCAATAGATAAAAGGAACAGGAAAAAAAGAGTGCTGAATATTGGACGCTAGTTCAGAGCATATACTGCATCCTATAGGACAGTATCAAAAAGGGTTATCTCCCAGAAGGCACCATAACTAAGTCTTCAATATGTCTTCAATAAGACAAGATACTCCTCAGTGATTGAGTACACAATTAAGCCAATAAATTCTATGGGCAATAGCCCATTGCATTACTTCTTTCATTGTAGAGTGAATTTCTTGGTTGAAAGCAATATAGCGTTAGAGAAAATGATAGTGTCTAAAGCACTAATTCCCTAGATGGTGGTGTCAGTGGAAGTACAGTGAGCAGGGGAAGCAAATCTCAATCTAGAATAAATATATTTCAGAGAGAACAAATAAGAACTCCCTCAATGATGGGAGAGGGCCAATGGCCAATGGAATGGACTTGCCTACATGTGGCTGGCTGATCCTCTTAGAGCATGGGGTATTGGTCACTGCTTCTGAACACTCAGCAGTGGCTTGGTGATCTGAACACTCAGCAGTGTTCAGTGACCTGAACACCCAGCAGTGGCTTGGTGATCCCATGCATAGCTCCAATCCTGCTGCCATTGCCATTGTCATTGCCATTTATTTCATGATTCCACTGAGCAAGCAGTAAGGCTGAGTTTCATCACAAAGCAGTTCATTTCATCCATATGATTCTTAAGGTTTATTCTGAGAGGTCCATCACTATATCCCTTCTGGAGCCTTCTGTCACTAGTTCCCCAATCTTGCTCTCTCCATGTCTTTGACAAACTGGCCAAAAAATTATCCTCTGACCCTGAATTGACCATTTCTCCTTTCAGCCAAAGTGAACATCAAAACATACTGGTGAAAATTCTGCCCACTGAAAGAACTTCACTACTTTAATATTCTTCAGGTCCAAAGCAGGTCTACAACATAACAATCAATTTTTGGCAAGTACTGGCATATTGTCCAGAGCAACATACCTGTATGGTACTTTGCACATCATAGGTGCTCGATGGACACTTAAACAATTTTTAAAATATAGACCACATTTTTTCCCTCGCTATATTTCAACAGCTTCCCATTGGTCTAAGAGACCCTGCTGGGTATGGACTCTGCATACTCCTTTCACTTCCTGTACTCTGATCCTTGACCCTCAGTTCCTGTAATGTTCCATGCTCTCTCCTGCTACAAGATCTTTGCTCAGACTGTTCCCTCTCCTTGCCTAGTTAACTCTTGACTCAAGATACTTCCTGTCTTACAATCATCTTTCTTCAGAGTACTTATTTCTGTATTAATTCCTGTCTCATCCTGGGACTCTAAGTTCTATGACTATGTGCACTCACCACTGATTCCCCAACACCTAATATAGTGCCTGGCACATATGAGGTACTATTTAATATTTTGTCAAATGAATGAATACATGAATCAGTGAATGAGTGAGCCTGTAATGATGCAGTTATTTACTTATAAGTTATCACTGCCAGTTTTGCTTAAGAAGCTTTCTGCCATCACAATTTTTACTCCTCTAATTCACATTTCTTTATTAAGAACAAGTATTTGTCAAGACAACTTTTCTAAGCATTACTCATATACTAGCACTACGCAACAGAAATTTGTGACCACAGATGTAATTTGAAATATTCTAATATCCATATGACAAAATTTAATAATAAATTTTATTTAGCCTAATATGCCCCCAAACATCATTTCAACATGAAATCAATACAAAAAATTATTAATGAGATATTTTACATTCTTTTCTTCAAACTAGTCTTTGAAATTTGGGGGTAGTTTACAATTACGTATCTAAACTGGAACTAGCTATATTTCAAGTGCTCAAGAGCCACAGATGACTAGCAGATACAACATCAAATGCTATATCCCACAGTGTAGTTCTATAGGATTCACTTTCACTAGAGAGGGCCTGATCACCCTCAGCTCCTATAATTAGTGTCAGTGAAAACCACACTTTCACCCAGAAGGACCTAACTGTTCTAGTATAAGAGATGATTTAAACTAGAACTGGGTTTTCAGTTCAGGGTTTGGAACTGAGTTGTCTCTGGGAACAATTTTAGCTGATGTACCGTTTTCACCTTCCTGTAACATCTTTTTGTCTTTTTTTTTTTTTTTTTTGAACTTTTAAGTTCAGGGATACAAGTGCAGGTTTGTTATATAGGTGAACTTGTGTCATGGGGGTTTGTTGTACAGACTATTTTGTCACCCAGGTATTAAGCCTAGTACCCGTTAGTTATTTTTCCTGACCCTCACCCTCCTCCCACCCTCCACCCTCCAAAAGGCCCCAGTGTGTGTTGTCCCCCTCTTTGTGTCCATGCGTTCTCATCATTTGGCTCCTACTTACGAGAACACGTGGTATTTGGTTTCCTGTTCCTTTGTTAGTTTGCTTAAGGAAACGGCCTCCAGTTCCATCATGTCCCTGCAAAGGACATGATCTCGTTCTTTTTCATGGCCCCACTTTTTATCCTTTTAATTTAAATGGATTATTTGCTCTTCCTGAAGATGGAAGCAACCTCCTTTGCAAGGACTTCTATTCTTCCCCCTTTGAGGCCAAGATACAATTCTCCGCATTTTTAGGTACTTAATAGTAAATCACTTGGTTCCCCTGCTTGTCTAGGAAGGGTTAGGAGATCGTCCAGCGCCATGTCTTGTACTGTTAATTCTTTCAGTGCTTTCGTTTCGCTTGAACCTCTCGGGGAGGGCCTGGAAAAGAGAGCAAGCCAGGGTCTAGGGCCACATAGAAGTGGATTTGGATTGCTCACTCAGCCCTGAAAAGTGGCTCTCTCCCCATCAGTATTATACTTGCACAATGATTTTGTTTTTAGGTGCATCTACCTCACCACATGGCTACCGGCCATACAACAACGAACAGCACCTAGGAAACACAGCTCCTGTCTACCTTCAGACCCGCCACTAACCCTTGGCCAAAGGGAAACGGGCAGAACATCCGCCCGCTCTGAGCCACCTCCGGAAGTGACGTTGGAGTGTCAACATGCAAGATGGCGGCCCATCACCGGCAGAACACAGCAGGGCGGAGGAAAGTGCAGGTATGGAAGCCAGGTTCCTCGGCCTTCCGGACGCGGCTGGCAGCTCCGGGCCCACTCCAGCTAGAAGGTGTCCGGGGCCACGGCCGGCTGGGGTAGCGGCATGGGGCGAACGGGGCGGGGCGCAGCCAGCCTTGAGGGGTGGGGCCGCGGCGCTAACGGCTTGAGGAAGGGGCGGGGGTCGGCCTGCGTGGCCCTTGGGGCCCAGGCCCGGGACCCTCGCGGGCGGCGTTCTGAGCCCGGGATTGCTGGTCGCCGCTTTTCTGTAGGAATGGACTTGCGGGGTCGGGATAGGCTAGTTCCCCGCCCACTTGCCTCCCTCTTCCCCTGCCTTTCTTCGAAGCGCTCTGCCCTCGCTGCGTCGGAGCGGAGGCCTCCAGGGGTTTCCCGGGAGGGTGGGCGTTGGAGGAGTGAGCGGCCTGTGCGGGGGCGTGGCGAGGCGGCGGAGCACCGACGGCCCTGCGGGGTTTCTGCTGAGGATTCCGCACTTGGGAGCCCCCAGCCTTCTCTTATGTTGGAGCTGTCCCCTGGGTAGGTGGAAGTGACATGAGAATGTGCGTGGGGAAATTATAATTTTAATTGGGAATTTAAGTTCGTCTTCACCATTTCTTCACCTTCAGTGTGCATCGCTGAATCTTTCTTTATTGTTTGTATAATTTATTGTCCATGTGGTAAAGAGTTGTCTAATCTTACCGTGTGTGTCTTGTGCCTTATGCCTTTGTGAATTCACTTTTGTTTGGGGTTACGCTTAAGAGTTATTGCCACTTCGGGGAACATCACACACCGTGGCCTGTGGGGGGCTGGGGGTCTGGGGGAGGGATAGCATTAGGAGAAATACCTAATGTAAATGAGTTGATGGGTGCAGCAAACCAGCATGGTACATGTATACCTATGTAACAAACCTGCACGTTGTGCACGTATGTCCTAGAACTTAAAGTATAATAATAATATAAAAAGTTATTGCCATTTAATACTTTCCGTGTTGCAGGGAATAAAAGCCCTCTTACAGGTGTTTGCCTGCAGGTGTATTGTATGTGGTAGTGGCAGTTAGGTGCATTTATTCTTTAAACATTTACCTAGCACTTAGAGTGGCCCCCAGAGGGGAAAAGGGATTGAAAGGTTGTAGGAATAATTTACACCTAGGCTTTCTTTATAAAACACAGCATTATATGGAGTTCTGCAGGTTGAAATCAAGTGTCAGATGAAGGTGGTTAGATAAAGGGGTCCTTCAGTAAGGTAATCCCAGCAGAAGGTGGTAGGCTATAAAGTCTTCTGAGTAGTTCACATCTTGGTTTTATTGATCTCATTGATCAGCACAGTGTCTTAAGCACTCACTGTATGTTTGTTGAAATGAGTGAAATTAATGAGTCTAAACTCACTCTATTAGGTGAGTTTTTCAGTGCATTAGTGATAGGATTTCAGTATCACCAGCATCCAAGGCAGGTAGTGAGAATGTCTCCTCTGGACGGGAATGTAACTCAAAATTGTAACCTGATAGTATTACAAGTCTATAACACTATATGGTGGTATACTTCTCAGGGGAGTAAGGGTAGTTCATCAGGCCTTTCAGTTTATTGCATTAAGACTTAAAAGTCCTAATACTGCAGTGTGTTCCCTGCTTGCTTCCTTCCCAGGCCTACCCACTCCCAAAATGCATGCAATAAAGTATATATATTTTAAAAAGACTTACAAGGCAATTGTACTAGTATGGGATGAAGAAAATGTAAATTAACTGCAGCAGGTTTGGAAAACCAATGTTTTAATAAGCTGAATGTGAGCCAGTGCATGTAGAATGAGACAGGTGATGGATAATGCCACTTTTCACTGGTCAGAATAAAAAATTAGAGTTTGCTCTTCAGCACTTAGGACCGTATTCTTCATAGGTAGCAATCAGATTGGTGAACTGACTTGAAATTATTTCCTATGAAGAACTTTTAAGAGCTGTCTGAGATTAACCTGCTGAAGAGAAGATTCAGGTAGCTTTCAGAATTTGTCCCCAAGGTATAGAAGCAGCCTGAGAAGCCACAGGGATTGATTTCATCTGACCCATCATTGTCTATGAGGTGTTATTTAAACTAATGAGTGTTCATTGTAAAAATCCCAGCAAACAAAAGTATAGATTAGAGTTGCCCTCCATGCTTCCGAGAAAGCTGCTGTGGGCAATGTCATGTTTTAATCCTAGACCAGAGTTTATCAACCTGAGCATTCTTGAAATTTTCGTCTGGATAATTCTTGGCTGTGTCTGAGGGAGGGAGCTGTCTTATGCATCACAGGTTCTTTAGCATCATCCCTGGCTTCTACCAACTAGATGTGGTAGCATCTCCCTAGTTGTGACAACTAAAAATGTCTCCAGACGTTTTCAAATGTCCCCTCGAGGGCAAAATTGCTGCTGGTTGAGAACCACTGTTCTGTACCTCTCCCTGCTTGTGTACCTGACTTAACGTGATTTTTTTTGCTATAAGTGGAGCCATAGTATTCACTGTTTTGTGTCTTGCTTTGTCAAATTTTTAAATAAACATTCCCTTTAGCCCAGAATTCCTTATCTAAAAATATATTCTGCAAATTTGCATATGCATATATCTGTCCCTACTTATGCAAGGGTGTTGTGTGAAGCCATTCTTGAACTGCTATAAAGAAATACCTGAGACTGGCTCATTTATAAAGAAAAGAGGCATAATTGGCTCACAGTTCTATAGGCTTTACAGGAAGTATGGTGCTGGGATCTGCTCGTCTTCCGGGGAGGCCTCAGAGAGAGAGAGAGAGAGAGTCAGAAAAGCAGGTCAGCATGGCATATTCCCATTTCCACAAAGGAAATACGCGTTTTAAAAGTCTGTAAGGGTAATAGCAGTGATTATCCCTTTGGGAATAGATTGTGTGATTATAGATAAGACAGGACATGGGATATCTTTTAGTTTGAAGTATACATAACTTTGTATTTTTGAACTTTTTACCACAGTATTTGCTCTTATACATCAAAAAGAAAACCTCGTTTTGGAAAAAGCATATATGGTACTTGCAGTAAAATATACTTTGTCTCCTGACTGTCTCAGACCAAAGATAGTAGCCCTGAGCTCCTTGTCAAGTTGTAGGCCAAGACAAACCCTTGAGACTTAAAATATTGCTAAATAATCAGTGGAGGCCAGGCGTGGTGTCTCACGCCTGTAATCCCAGCACTTTGGGAAGCCAAGGTGGACAGATCACTTGAGGTCAGGAGTTCGAGACCAGCCTGGCCAATATGGAGAAATGCCGTCTCTATTAAAAATACAAAAATTAGCTGGCATGGTGGTGCTTACCTGTAATCCCAGCTACTCGGGAGGCTGAGGCAGGGGAATCGTTTGAACCCAGGAGGCGGAGGCTACAGTTGGCTGAGATTGTACTACTGTACTCCAGCCTAGGGGACAGAGCAAGGCTCCATCTCAAAAATAAAATAAAATGATTACTTAAAGAAAATCAGTGGAGATGGGTCCAAACATACTGCATATTAATTATCGACATAATTTTAAATGAGTCCATGTCCTACCATCTTCAGCTTCTAAGAAAACTGGAGATATGAGGGGAGAGGGATGGATTTGTGACTGTCAGAAACATAATCAAATATGTGAATTCAGATACATGATGCAGCGTTTTCTCTGGTACCAAGATATCAAAGCAAGTCTTTCCCATCCTTGGCAGTCCCTTAGTGTTACGATTTTCCAACAACCTGAGTCTATTGATTGGCTCTCTCTGCCTCCATTTTTCCTCCTGTTATGGCCTCTTCCTTCACTGCTTCATAGTGTTTGGGGAGAAGCTAGAAAGGTTTAGTTACTCTGGTAGGCAGAGTGAGCTCTCCCCAAAACGTTCATGCTCTAATCCCTTGCAAATATGCTACATGATCATGTAACATGCTATGTTACATGCTGTTACATGATCACGTAACATGTTAATCCCTTGCAAATATGTTATGTCACATGATAAAGGGGATTTTGTGAATGTAATGAGGTTACAGACTTGAAAATAAGGGATTATCCTAGTGGGCCCTTTCTAATCGTTCTAATCATATGAGCCCTTTAAAACAGAGGACTTTCTCTAGCTGGAGGCGGAAGCAGGAAGATGTGGTGACAGAAATTTGAGTTGTAAGAAGGACCCAACCCTCTGTTGCTGGAGAGGACCACTGGAAAGCATGAGAAGGAATGCAGGCAGCCTTTAGGAGCAAAGATGGGCCCTTGACTGACAGTCAGCAAGGAAACAAAACAGAGACCTTAGGGCCTACAACCGCAAGAAACTGAATTTGACCAGCAACCTAAATGAGCCTGGAAGCAGACTCTTTCTAGAGCCTTGAGTAAGGAACACAGATCTGCTGACGCTTGTCAGTTTTGGCCTTGTGAGATCTTATGCAGGGGACTCATTTCAGCCGTTTGGACTTCTGACCTTCATAATTGAAATAATAAATGGGGTTATTTAAAAGCCACTAAATTTGTGGTAATTTGTTACATCGGTAATAGAAAATCAATGTGATTACTTTCAAATAAAATGATGAACAAGGAAAGATACATTTATCTCTTGATTGTGTGTACCCTCTGGCACACTACCAATGACTCTAGGATTATTTAAGTGTGAAAGGCAGAAACAGATCACATGAAGTACAGTGGATTATCCTCACTGTTTTTTGTTTGTTTGTTTGTGGTCCCAGATAATTGGACTACATTAATGTAGTCCAATTAATGGTTAATGGTTGGCGAAATTAAGCAATGCTTACTGAGCCAGCTGCAAATGCTCCACTGTAACTTAACTGGATACTTGCTGCTGGGAACTATTCTATTATTTTTCTCCCTGTTAGAGTCCCTTTGATTGACTCTTTCAAAATGCGTATTTTCTACTGAAGGCCAAACTTCCCATTCCTTTGCAAAACTCATATAATACCCTGCTCCCATTTTTTAAAGCAAATCAAGATGTTTGGATATGAATCCTCATCTTCTCTGCCTTATCTTATACTCTTGACTATCTAAATGAAGTTCTCCCATGAC